GTCCTTTGATCATATTTGATTCATTAACTCTGATGTATACAGTAGTATTTACTATTTAGTATATAATACGAAAAAAAAAATCAAGAACTATATCACAAGCCAAATATTATATCATATTATTATCATACGTGATACGTATATAAAATGCAAACGTCCAGAATGGTTTGTTCATGTCTGGAGAGCAGACGGACCATAGGCGTAGTCAGAGGGTGTGCAGGGTACGCGGTGACACCCCCTAAATGCACAGACAATTTAGTGTGGAGACTGGAGTTCAAACGTCGTATGACATTGTATATAATTATATTATTGTGATAATGTGATGTAATATTATGAATATAATAAAATATAGTACCTATTAATTTTTTTTTTTTATTTTTTTTTTTTTTGGAGGGAGAGGACAAAAATATTTGCACCCCCTAAACGTGAAGGTTGGTTTCGCCTATGAGACGGACAAGTAATGAAATAAGTGCTAGTTTATAAAATAAACCAAAATCGTCCGATAGAAAGGCCAGAGCCGTGCAAAGAGGGGGGGGGCAATTAGGGCAAGTGCCCCAGGGCGGCAAAAGTAGCAATATTTTATAGGGCGGCAAAAAAGATGGTACTTTTCCATTAGTTTATACTCCRAATTCGCCACGGTCACAAAAATTGAAATATCTACTATCTATTTTAAGATAAAATATTTTATCTATGAAAAATGTGTTGTAAAGGTAGACCAATTATCCGTGGCAGTACGGTACATTTGCAAAGATGGTTTACCTGTAGAGAGATTTATAGGGTTTCTTCCTTCAGTTGGTCACAAAGCAAAAGAAATGGAATTGGAACTAATGAAAATGTTTAAAAAAACTTGGACATTGATATGATAAATTGCAGAGGTCAGTCGTTTGATAACGCTAATAATATGTCGGGMATCTATAATGGCTTACAAGCACGGATTAAGCAAAAATCAAGTACAGCAGAATTTGTACCATGCTCAGCCCATTCTTTAAATTTAGTTGGGACATTTGCTGCAGAACTAACCAGCATGGGAAATACATTTTTTTTGAGAGCTCAAAACCTATATACTTTTTTTTCTGCGTCTACCTCGAGGTGGACAACTTTATCGAGTTAGATCAAATTCCTAATGCTCAACTTCTAAAAAACTTATGCCCTACTCGTTGGTCATCACGGTACTCTGTAAATCAATTAAAAATGGATACCTATGTCGGAATTCTCGCTGCTTTAGAAATAATACATAATGATTCAAATTTCAAATCAACGAAATGCAGTTAAACATGAAGCCAAATCAATTTACAATAAAATAATATCATTAGATTTTGTCTTTCTTTTAGTTGTTTGGACRCCTCTTTTTGAAAGATTTAACAATACTTCTAAAAGTCTTCAGTTAATTAATATTGATTTGTCGTGTGTAGTTTCTCTATATCATTCATTAGTATG